ATTATAAGCACCCAGATTTTCTATTTTATCTTTGTCTCTTTATCTACTTTCCTCTTAGTCAACACAACTTTGAGGTAAAGGTTTACTTTATTTTTAATTAATTTTTAAAATTGAGATAGTTATAGATGTACATGCTTTCATAAGAAATAATACAGAGAAATGCCTTCTGTACCTTGCTCAGTTCCTGCATTGGGAACATTTTACAAAGTTATAGTATATCACAAGCAGAATACTGTCACTGATACAATCCACCTATTTTATTCAGATTGCCTCAGTTTTATCTAGACTCATTTATATGTGTATATTTCTTACATTTTAATTTTCTCACATACTCAAATTATATCCCTTTGTCATTAAAATCTAGCCATCATATTATTCCTTTCAAATGTCTATTTGGTAGTCAAAGTTGTTAAGAGACATGATTTCAGAGTTTATTTCACAGCTCCCTATTAATAAACTGAAAATGGACTCAGTAACAGAAAGTAATGAAACCCATTTAGAGGTCATGTCATTGTCAAATGAAAATTCACTTACCCTGAAAGTTTTCTTGAAGTCCAACTATAAAATAAAACATTACCCTTTCCCCAGAATTAATGTATTTGTGTTTGAAATTCAGATGTGAAATGATGTAAGATGTGGTTGAAATTTTAACACTGCCTCTTTTTCTTCTTATGAAAGAAGTGAGAAGGGAAGATTCGTGTAACAATACCTCAGGAAATCAATATATCCAAGTTTTCATTTCATGGTCAGACAGTGTTAAAATTCAGATTTAAACATCTAAACACAAACAGCCAAGGAAAAAGTCAAGCTGATTACAAACCATGCAAAGCCAAACACGTTTGCATAAAAGATTAACCTTAGAGGAAAACAAAGGGATACCTACTTTCTGCTGCTAGAAGTCCTAGGAGGAAGGCAGCATATGGACAAACAACAAACAGTATGATTTTAGAGCAAACAGGTTATCAAGCCACAGTTGGGCCCACCAGATGAGCCACAAGAAGCAGCAGTCCCCCGGCTGACCCCAAAGGAAGTCCTTGTGTTTCACGAGCACAATCACCAGGACTGATTAGGATTTCAGACATCAAATACTGGGTTCTAATTCTGACTTCTCTGATTTGAAATATGAGAATGGAATATTTCTGCTTTGACTTCTTAAGTAACAAAGCAACAGTACATTGTTTATCAGAAGATTAAACTTCATGGATTCTAGTAAATATACAATGGATGAATTTCAATAATCAAAATAGAAAAACATCTTTTATAAAAAATCATTTTATATGGTAAACAATATAACATAAGCATGTTCAACTTTCCTTTAGATTACAAACTGGGAAGCTGGTTAGTTTTTAAATTGTGATTTTAAAATATTCATATTTTCCAAAATGCATACAGTATTACTCATTCCCATGATAAGGTTCGATTTAAGAAAATATATGCTGGATTTTGGGAGTAGGCAGCTTTAAGGCTCTTCTCAAATACTGGGATTTCATAGCACAGCAGAACTGCAAGAAATCTGGGGGGACCAAATTAGGATTGCCCATTATTAATTCTGTCAAATAAGGTCATTAAAAAAACTGACCTATCATTATGATCTTCATAAAAAAGCATTGTCTAAAGGTGGAACACAAAGACAGCCCATCTCAAGAAAGGACAGTTGCTGATTTTACATTTTCCATCTTTCTATCCCCTCTTTCCTTGTCCCCCACCGCCCCACCCTACAAACACATGTTTTGTGATCCTTTTCTTTTTGCCATGGGCTTGAATGAATTTTCAGGTGATGATGGAAAGTGCTTTGTGTTTTGTTCTCTAAAACAAAGCCACACAAATTTCAACAGAAAGACACCAGAAAGAATAACTTTGGGAACTTAAAATAAATGATGAAGAATTTAAGCATTAGTAGAAGTAGAGAAGAATTCAGGTATAAAAATTAACGAATATACTTTAAAAATGAAATTAAAAATAATGAAAAGCAAACATATAGATGTTTTAATTTATGAAAGTGCAAGGCTTTATGTGAGTCCAATTAAAATATATAATTGGCTTTCTGCAACCAACCATATAACCACTACTGCTTGGTTGCAGATAAAGGACACTTGCTGGCAGATTAGCTACTTGATAAATAATGCTGGCCATAATAGTAGAATGCCTTCCTTTAAATGACTTAGTATTAAAAATTGACTTTAAGAATGTATGAATAATTTCTGATAAGTATGTGAGATTTAGGAAAGTGTTAGAATTTTCTTCAAAAATTTTCTTTGTTTTTTTTACTTCTGAATATATAAAATTTTCTCCTCAATTTTCACCTACCCTAATGCCAATTAGGGTAGGTGATTGGCATTAGACATGTACAGAGCATATTAATTCAATGTTTTTTATTTGTAGACCCAGACAATGCCATTGAAAAATACTTACGATAGACATTTAGCATATCAAATGAAAATATAGACTGCCTGCAAGATCATCAAGACCCAGGAATTTAAAAAGAAAAGAAAAGGAACTGGGTATGACTGTAGGAAGTAGAAAGGAAGAAGGCTGTGGAAGATTAATATGAGGGTTTGTAGGCTACCTGCAAAATTGTGAAAGAAGTTTCTTTTTGTAGTTTAAGAATCAAATACTAGGGCTGGGGTCATGGCTCAGTGGTAGAGTGCTCGCCTAGCATGTGTGAGGCAAAGTTCGATTCTCAGCACCACATATGAAAAAATAAATAAAATAAAGGTCCCTCAAAATTTTTAAAAAAATCAAATACTGTGGGTACAGTGGAGCATGCCTGTAATCCCAGCTAATCTGGTTTAGGCAGGAGGATGGCAATTTGAAGGCAGCCACTGCAACTTACTGAGACCCTATCTCAGAATTAAAAAATAAAAAGGGCCGTGGATGTAGCTCAGTGGTAGAGCACCCTTGGGTTCAATCTCCAGGACTGCAAAAATTAAAAATCAGAAACTATTTCAAGCAAATTATCTAAAGATTATACTAAAAATGAGAAAAAATTGAGTAATAAAAATATATTTAATAGAAAATAAGCACATTTATAAAGTGATTTCTTTCCCTAAAGGAAAAATCTACCTCTTCCCAGAAAAGAACATGTAAGAGTTATTAAATTATTGCTAGACAGAGGTAAATATTAATTAAGGGCCAACACTAAAGATTAGGTATATGAAGTGATTTGCAAGGACCATACTGTTTTCTAGGACCATTTCCAAACATGCAAATAAATGATAGTAGAAGTATTGACCTAAAATCTCGCAGAGATTTATACTATATATATATTCCAAGCATGCAACTGTTAAATGTAGTCACATTGTGACATAAGAACTATTTCTGGGTCTGCTGGCCCTAAAGAGGGTCAAATGTAATCTAAGTGGGAGGAGAAAAGACTGAAATTCAAGCTGGGTGTGGTAGTGCACACCTGTAATCCCAGAATTTGGGAGGCTGAAGCAGGAGGATCACAAATTCAAGGTTAGCCTGGGTGATTTAGCAAGCAAGACCCTATCTCAAAATTAAAAACAAGAAGGGCTGGGGATGTGGCTCAGTGGTAGAGTGCCCCTGAGTTCAAGTACTGGCCTCAAGACACAAGAGCAAAATTTGAGCTAATAAAAAGTCACAGGGAGAAGGAACAAAATGTATTGAAAGGAAAAAAAGACAGATAAAATGATAGGGAGTATGGGAGACCATACCTATAAGCACAACCTTGCCTTTCATGTGGTAAAGGTTCTGGATGGTTACCAAGCCAGCACAAGAGGAAAACAGAAAGGCTTTCTCCTCAGAGTTATTTCTAGTCTAAGATTCCCATTTCTGAATATTTTTGGAAATCACCTTCACTCAAAAGAGGAAGATTCATATCCCAATTGGTAAAAATCAAAATGAGGAACTATATACCTGTTGAATGGGAAACTTTGATGCTGTCATCTTGCACAAGGTAAAAGCACATACTAATTGGCCAGAAATTGTGAGTGTGTTTGTGCACATATGTGTGTATGAGCAGAGGAGGGCAGAAGCATAAATGATGACAAATGTTTCTGGTTCCAACAGAGAACAAGTGCACTCCTTCTTTTCATCTTGTTGACTGTGGGACAAACAACTCATACTTTGGGCTGTGGTTCCAATGATGATGAGTATTGAAAATGCCAGTCCAAGAGTACAAAAATCAAATCAGCAGTGCAAAGTCAAACACATGACAGATATTGAGTGTCTTTAATGAAAGAAAGAAGAAAAGCTGAGGCCAGATGACATAACTCAAGAGTTAATAAAGAAATGCATAAATAAAAATGTAAAACTCTGACACACACACGCACACACACGCACGCATGCATCTGCATATTCATATACATGTAGCCTGAGGATTTTTAGTAAATGCTCCTTGAGAATATCTCATTGGCAAGATGGAAGTCTGAGCATTTTATAAAATGATTTCATGAACACTATCAGATTTTTTCAGGACTACTTGTACACAATTCATCAAAACAGGTAACTCTTCTATGTTCTTCCTCCTTGAATACTTGTATCAAGGGTTATAGACTTTATATAGAGAGAAGAACTTGATCACTGTTTCAAGACAAAGCTCACAAGACAGCTTTACATTGAAAGATTCTTTTAAAGCAGTGCTGTCTCAAAGTCTGACTTAACATGATTGGCATGGGGGAAATCTTACATCAGAAGTTTTTGTTGAGGGAGAAAGTGATTGGAAAGATTCAAAAAGTCTGAAACTATAATGTTGGACTAGGTGAAGTGTAATGTTGGGTCTGAAGTGCAGAAAGGGGAAGAAGTATTACTGAGGTAAAAAGAAAAAGTGAAATGTTGGTTTTGGAGCGGTAGGGGAGGGACACTTTGGAATTAAAATGAAAAAGAATGAGACACATGTAGGTAGGATGTGGTTGCTGACAAACTGCCTTAAAATCCCTTGTAGGATTTAAATTCATATACAAAAGTTTACTTACAATGAAAGAGAAAGGATGTAGATGCCAAGTGAGTTACATGGCTGAATGGACCAATTATGCAATTACCTGAGGAGGTAGGGTCTTCAGAGAAATCTGGCAACTCTTCAGGGGGATCCCCATAGAATGAGTTGAATTTGTGACTTGACACAGCGGCTAGTACTGCTCCCTGCAGTAGAGATGAAAAATGTGATTAAAACAAATACACAAATATAAAAAGTTCATTAAGTAGTTATCTGAAGAATTGTTCAGACAGTCCAGTACAGAGGAGATGTTGGCTGGAAGAGAGATAGCTTTTAAAATAATTTTGAAGCTCTTTAAATAAATTACATATGCATACATGAAAATAACACTGCTGGGAATTACAAAAGTGTATGAACTGGGGCTGGGGTTGTGGCTCAGTGGTAGAGCACTTGCCTAGCATGTGTGAGGCCCTGGGTTTGATTCTTAGCATCACATATAAATAAATGAATAAAAAATTTTTAAAAAAGTGTATGAAATAATTACATCTTGAACTCAAATATGTACCACACAATGGAATATTCAGTAGTCATTATTAAAATGTTGCTGCAGAAGGATGTTTAATGAAATGGAAAGATGACTGCGATGAATTTCACCTTGAAAACAAGGTATGGCATGATCTCATTTTTGGAAAAAATGTTAATATAGATGTAGTCAACATACACCAGAATATTCATAATATTAATTATGCTTGGATAGTAGGATTATGAGCCATTTTTCTTTTAAAAATAATTTTCCTCCCTTCTTTCTGTTTTTAACAATGATCATGTGTTACTCTTGTATATGAATTCCCAGTCAGGCCAAACATCAGAATAAACTGAATGTGACTTTCAAGCCATGTGCACAGCTTCCCCCTGAGTTCTGGTTGAGGATCATTGCCATGTTGAGGGCCTGGCAGACCTAGAGCTGTTGAGTGGAGAAAGGATGAGAATTATTGTTTCCAGAACAGGAAGACTGACAAAACTTCCAGGTTTATTCCCTAGCTCTGCCACTTTCCAGCTATAGGACATTACTTGTGTAATGCATTTAATCTCACTAGGTTTTCTTATATGTAAACTGAGTGTACTAAACTGACATACTTTACAGGATTATCAAAATTCATAATGTACATGAATGTGCTTTGCAAACTATAAAGAATTGTATAAGTGGGAATCATGACTAGCCCTACATAAGCACAGCCATTTGCTAGTCTACACAAAATTGCTCAAATCACCTAAGTTGTCTAAGTCTATAGTAGTCTTTGTCTGAATTTTAAATATTAAACCCTTGAATTTTTTTGAAAAGAAAGTTATATCTCTTAATGTGTAGGTATTTGTTAATAAATCCATGAAAACATTAATAGAAATATACTTCCACAAAGATAACTTTTGAGGGGGTTTGTCTTAGGTTTTATTTTTGTTTTTTTTTCCTCCTACAAATATAAGTTGAAAAATAGACTATAAAAAGGGAAGAACAAAAACAACAAAAGAAAACAAAACAGAGACCTGATGTTGATGCTACCATTTTAGGCAAATTTCGATTTCCAAAAGTTCAGGATCAGTGCAGAAAGGTTCTAATGCAGAACTATAACAACCATGTTGAAAAAAAAAAAAAAAAAACAGTAGTGAATGTTGAGTTCTTCTTTCCACAGAAGAATTGTATTTCACTTTACATATTATACATGTTCCCTAAAGCTGGGTGGTAATGGAATTTTTATATATCAAATCATATTTCCCACACACTGAAACTAGACTTTTAGAGATACATTATTTTTATTTCCAAATAAAGTTCAACTGAGTTTTTGATATGTTAGTTTTAAGGCCTGTTCTAGCTACTAAAATAGTCCAAGATCTATAAATACTTATACTATTAGGGAAACACTATTTAAAAGAACCCTGAGAAGTAGATTCTTTTGAAGCCATTATAGCAAGTTCCTAATTTGTCTTATGGCTAGCAGTTTTGTTTATTTAGTTCTCTAAACTCAGTGACCGCACATGGTTCAAATGTTGAATGCTGAGTTATTATGTAAAACAGTAAAATAGTTCCAAAATAGTTCATGGATTCTTAGAATTTTATTAAAGTTTGAGAGTCAATCTTATAAATGGCTCATTCTAGGAGATTCAGTTTTGCAGATGGGAAAACTGAGGTCCAGAGAGGCTTAGCAACATGTGAAGATTACTGTCAACTTAGAGACGGTAATCAACGGCCAGCAGAATTGAGGTCTACTCTGCCCAATTCAAGGATTTCTACTATACTAGGAGTCAAAAAATTTTTGTGAGTGAAGGGACAGACAGTAGATATTTTAGGCTTCATTAGCCACATGATGTCTTTTGCAACTATTCAACTCCACCTCTGTGGCATGAAATCAGCAATTGATGAAATATAAATAAAGATACAGTGCTGTCTTCCAATAAAACTTTATATCTAAATCTATATATTTATATCTATAGGTAGTAAACTGAATTTGGCCCCCAGGTTGTAGTTTACCACACTGTACTATACAATCACTTTGGAGATCCTTTGTGTACAACAGTAATATAAAATCTGAGCTTATATAAATAGTTCTTCAAATTTTCTGCTTTAATTTAGTAGGTACACTTTAGTATGTTTCAAGAATGAAACATAATTTTGAGTTAAGAATACTGTTCATAATCTATTAAGAAAAATAATATTAAAGTTGAAATTTTCTCCTTTAAGTACTAGAAAACAAATTTCTAAACAAACTTTTCCTACTTGTGCACAGTCCAGGAATGCAAAAGACTGATCAGTAAGTCAGAGAAACATGCAGGGTATACTATTGCAATTGCAAAATGAATAAAGGAAAAAAATTACAGAAAGTCATCAGAAATCTTCCTTGCTTTCCATATACACAGGGAATAAGTGGTTTTATCCTCTTAATTGAATTACATAGTTTCAATTTACCATGTCCTAAACTGATTGCAATAAATCATTTTAGGACATGGTAATACAGAATATTGCTTCTATTTATATCGGAAATTTGCTTTTTAGGTGTAGAAATATTTTAAGAAACAAAGAAAATGATTTCTAGAAAAGATTCCCTCCTAGATAGACAAGCTCAGATATCCATAAACATCTCTTTGCTCATAACTCCTTCAGGAACTATCTCCCTGGTCAGAGTGCATGTGCACTCCCTTAAGAGACCCACAACCCCAGAGCTCAGCTTTTCCTCATAGCCTAGGTCACACAGTTTGTCTCATGTATCCTTATATTCAATTTGACAAAATATGCTCCTTATATTTAGTCCTGTACTCAGGACTACGTAGTTTATAAAAGAAAGTATTGTTTCTAGAGGATTAAAAAAAACCCCAAGTATTAAAATTCTAAAGCTTATGGGCAGGGGGTGTAGCTCAGTGGTAGAGCACTTGTCTAGCATGCATGAGGCTCTGGGTTCCAATCCTATCACTTCTAACAAACAAGTAAACACATACCTCTAAAGTTGAGTATGGAGGAAAAGCCCCAACATCTAAAATGTCTGGTAACTAAAATGGGGAAAAGAAACTTTCCATCATCACTTACGGAGATAACGTAAAATAATGAAAGAAACGAAGATAAAAAGACATCTGTGATCACATGCAGGGTTCCAAAAGCTTTGTTTACCTACATTTTCAAAGTAGTCTGAAAATTATGTGAATAATTTCTAATTATCTGAATAATTTTCTTAGAAATTTGTTGTCTCCTATAGCCTGCTAAAGAGGTTAAATGCCAAAATGAATGTAAGAGTATGGAAAAGAACAATTTTCTGGATTGTTGAGCATTGATACTATTATACCCATAATGAGTAATTATCTTGAAATTTCAGCAAAGGTAGTCAGATAAGTAAAATGAGTAATATTTTATATTCTGGCATTAAAAAGTCACCATCATCTACATCCATAAGACTAGGATCCTAGGAATAAGACATATTCCATGCTTGTATAAATACGTTAAAATAGATTCTACTGTCATGTATAATGAAAAAGAACTAATAAAAATTAAAAAAAAAGATTAAAAAAGGAAAAAGTCTCACAAGACTTTCAGCATGAGAAAAAGGTTCAACTGTGCAAATAATAAACTCACTATCAAAAATGCAGTCAACATCATTTCTGGCAGTGGAAAACTAGAAGCAATCTCCATGTCCACAAACTGGTTAATTATATTACAGTTTGTATATATAATGGAATAGGTATAGAACAATTATAGTTTATGCTTAGAATAATGACTCCCAATAAAGTGGACATGTCAGAATCACCCATGAGCCTTTTTAAAAAGACACGTTCCTTCAACCTCACATATTCACCTAGCAATTAGGGAGGGAGGGGTGGTCCCTTGGTTGAATGGTGCAGTGAGCCACTGTCAATGATGGTAAATGTGTTATATCTCCCAAGTGTGCTGAAGTAGAAACCAGTATTTAAAACCAATATTTTGTTACAAGGTAAAGAAAGTGGGTTTTGTGAAATTCCCATGAGATAAAATTAACCATCGTACAGTGTATAATTCAGTGGTATTTAGTACATTCGCAATTGTCTGGTTCTAAAAAATTTTTCACAACTCCCCAAACCCTGATACCCATTAAGCAGACACTTTTCAACACCTAACTATCACCAATTTGCTTTCTGTCTCTATGGATTTAGAAACATAAATACCTATTCTAGATATTTCATATACACAGAATCATCTAATATGTGGCATTATGTTTCCTTTTGCATGTGGATATTCAATTGTTCCAGCCCCATTTGTTGAAAAGACTAATTCTTCCTTCCTTGAATCGCCTGGGAAGATTTGTCAAAAACTGATTAGCCATAGCTGGGTGTGGTGGTGCATGCCTGTAATCCCAGTGACTCAGGAGGCTGAGGCAGGAAGATCATGAGTTCAAAGCCAGCCTCAGCAACTTAGCAAGGCCCTAAGCAACAGAGTGAGACCCTGTCTCAAAAAATAAATAAATAAAAAGGACTAAAAGGACTGGGGTTGTGGCTCAGTGGTTAAGTGCCACCTGGGTTCAATACCCAGGACCAAAAAAAAAAAAAATAAACAACACATCAATTGATGATAAGTAAAAAGGATTTATTCTTAAGCTCTCAATTCTGTTCCACAGATATATATATATATACACACACATACACACACACACACACACACACATATCCCAGTGTCCTGATAACTGCAGCTTTATAGTAAATGCCCCAAATGAAAAGCATGAGTCTTCCAACTTTGTCCTTTTTTTCCAAGACTGTTTTAGCTATTCTGGAAGCTTTACATTTCCATGTAACTTTTAGGATAAGTTTAAGTTTGTGCTAAAATTTTGATAGGGATTGTGGTGAATCTATGCATCATTTTGGGAAGAACTGTCATCTTAATAATATTGAATCTTCCAATCCATGAATATTAAATACTTCTTCATTCAGATCTTTTTTTAAAAAAATATCTTTATTTTTTAGTTGTAGATGGACAATATCTTTATTTATTTTTCTTTTATGTAGTTCTGAGGCTTGAACCCAGTGCCTCACACATGCTAGACGAGTGCTTTACCACTGAGCCAGAGTCCCAGCCCCTCCATTCAGATCTTTAATTACTCTCAGCAATGCTAGTTTATGGGTCTTGTACTTCTTTTTTTCATATTTTTCTTAAGTATTTCATTAGTTTTTGAAGTTATCATGGTTGGAATTTTTCTTAATGTCACTTTAAGCATGTTATTTGCTCATATATAGGAATATAATTCAATTTTATATATTGATCTTGTATCCTGTTACCTTACTGAACTTGTTATTTCTAATAGTTTTTTGGTAGATTCCTTAGGATTTTCTATACATGGGGTCATGCCATATGTAAACAAATGCCTTTTCTTTTTTTGCCTGAGTATACTAAGAGCCCAAGGATTTATATTTCTAACAAGATCCCAGATGAGGCTGATGCTGCTGGTCCAGGGACCACACAAGAAAAGTGTACAGTAATTCCCCCTTAGCCATGATTTTGCTTACCTATGGTCAGCCTTGGTATAAAAATACTGAATGGAAAGTTGCAGAAATTAATAATCCATACGTCTTAAATAACTTTTATTATAATATATAATATTATTATAAGTATTCAAATGTATTATTAGTTATTGTTGTTCATCTCTTTCTGGGGCTAATTTATAAATTATTCTTTATCAGAGGTATGTATTGTATAGAGTTTTGTACTATCTGTGGTTTCAAGTACCCACTGTTTCGTAATGTATCCCCTACGGATAAGAGGAACTATAATATATTATACAATAGATGTGATAGTAGAGGAAAACAATGGAAAGAAGCTGAATATTACAGTGTAAGTGTAAGAGTTTCTCCTAAATACTGTGAGGGAAGTGATGATAAAAACGATCAGAAAAATCTAACTACAATTACTTTGGAAGAAATACAAGAGTTGAGACTACTCAGTGAAATTTTTAAAAAAACTTTCAAAACCCACAAAAATGTTACAGCCAATGACTGGCAAAAAGCTAAAATGGTCTAGAATGCCCATTCAGGAATTGCAGTTGTTTACAGTGTAACCCAATCAAAAGTATTAACATTAAAATCATAATAATACATCAACAGTGATCACAAAGTTAATAGCAAATAATATTTATGAAGCACTTGCCTCAACTTTTGTAAAAATATACTGATTCGACCTATGAATTAACTATTATCATCATACCCATTTTATAGATAAAGAAATAGAGGCACAGAAAGTTTAGCTAATGTGTTCAAGGCTACACAGCTAGGAAGTGTCAGAATCAAGATACACGAAAGGCAATACAATTTGAGAGCCCACTTTTTCCTTTTCCTTTTTGCCAATGACAGTAAAAATTTTGTTGACTAAGTAGCAAAAGTGGTTTTCTACTGATTTCAGTGAATTTTCTTTATAATCATTTCCAAGGGAGTTCTAGAAATTAGATTGTCTTCTACTATTTGAGGAATTTAAAAACAGTGTCTGGGTAGGATGGGCACCTTACTGTTCATTTGAGAAAATTAGCTGTATGGTGGGTTCTGAAAGCCATGGAAATTGCCATCTTTGTTCCAGAAGTTTGCTGGAGAGGCAGAATGAGAATGAGTTCCTGGAGGAAGGCAGATGTAACCTGTTTTAATGGGGTGGCTGAGCTACTCCACAGAAGACAGCCTTACCAGAAAAAGCTGGAAAAAAATTTCAGTATTGACCCTGCTGATGTTCTTAATTCTAGGTTGTTTGGCGGGTCTTAAAACTTTAAATAACCCTGCAAAGGGATGTGGTAAATCCACATGACCCCTCTCTGCTGTGACAGCTTGGCCCTGTCCAAATGAATCTTAGTCATCACTTTGGCTATTTTAAGCCTAAGTCTGATTTTGTGGCACTGGGAGAAGAACAGAATGTCTCTTGTGATGGTGAAATATCTGTACCTAGGCAATGGCAGGTTCAGCCCTGTGTAGTGTTACATCACATGAGGCCAAAGCCACGTTAAGAGTTTAAAAGACTTAGGGCAGAGTCAAGAAAGACATACAATGAATAGTTTCTTTGAGAAGAAAACTAACTTCAAATATAGCTGAGCAAATTTCATTAGGAATGATAAGACTTTTTATTCTTTTGTAGGTTGATGGTTCAGGTAGATATCAGATCAAAGGGAAAAATAGTCTTGGGAAACTTGTTTGGGCACCATCTCAAAAATGGTATAATTACTTTGTAGCTGGGTTGTGGCTCAGTGGTAGAGCACTTGCCTTGCATGGGTGAGGTGCTGGGTTTGATCCTCAGCATCACATAAAAATAAATAAATTAAATATATTGTGTCCATCTACAACTAAAAAAGTATTTTAAAAAATCACTTTGGTTTTTAAAAAGCAAATAGAGAAGAATCAGTTTAAACTCTTGAATATAAAAACAACTAGGAGAAAAGCTTAAATGGGAATACTCATCAACAATGATATGTTAAAATTTCCCTTGTTCTATGGCACCACCATTCAATGGCACCTTTTGCAATCATAGGAATGTTATATATCTGTGCAGTCCAAAATATAATCACTATCCATATGTGGTTGTTGAGCACTTGAAATGTGCTTGTGTGAATAGGGAACTGACCCTTGAATTTCATTTAATTTCAATTAATTTAAATTTAAATAGCTGCATGTAGCTATCGGATATCATGTTGAACATTTCAGCTTTACAGTATAATACTGTAGATTGCTAAGTTTTCCCAAAATTAATATAAATGTTCTTAAAAATTTGGAGTTATATAAAATCATTCATAAATATTAGGAGTTGAGTAATAACAGATTAAAAATACTATTACAATTTATGATGCATCTGAAAGTACTTCAGAAGAAAGGGTTTATAGTTGTTAGGAGTCACATGAATGAAGAGGACTACTAAACAATCAGCCACTTAAAGAGCAAAGTCAACATTTTCTATATCAAAAGTAGGTCAAATATAAATGAATTTCAATGCCATAATATAATAGTTTTCCCTATTACCCTAGGGTGGAATGGGGCAGGATAGTATTGTTCCATATAATTTTCTTCTAATGCTGGAAAGACTCCACTATTTAATGTTGGGTCTTTTCAGAACCGTTTGAAGTTAAGTGGTCTCCCCATGTGGGGTAATTATTATTATTATTATTTTTATTGGGGTAAAGGATAGGGAGAGAGGCAAGAGAGAGAGAAAGATATCTAGGAAAAAATAAAGGAAGGAAGGTAAGAAAAGTGACCTGAAAATATTTCCTAGTAGATCAAGGGATTTTATTTATTGCTTTGTGATGGGGATTCAATCCTAGATTGAATGTTAATTCAGTGTTATTTCCATTGAACTAAATTCACATTTTCTGTCAAAATATTTAAGTTTGAAAAAGCATCCTAGATTAATATTTAATAATAATGTATGATAATATTAACTATATCTCTGCAATGAATTTTAAGGGGAAACATCTAAAATAAAATGTATCTTCTAGTTATTAAAATTTGTTTATTTAGACTCATACTGAGATATTAATGGATTTTAAAAACCAAAATATTGTTGAAATGGTGGTAATTTTTGGAAATGAGAATTTAGCTTTAACAAAAACAATAGCCAACACTAGAATACACTGAAGGGCAACAAAACAGAATGAAAAGATTGTTAAGAAGATTGTCATCTACCGTTATCTGCTTGGCTCATTTCTGATTTAACTTACCTTAAGTTTCCTCCGTGCATTGAATTTCCTCAGTTGTTCTACTGTTTCTGGAAGATGAATCTTGTAGGCATAACGATCTCGCTCCTATAAAAGAAGAAAGATAACGAACATACATAACCATTTTGAAGACTGAAGAAACAATATATAAGAAATGATAAAGTCCAGATTCTTAAATGTAAAGCTCAGACTGAATCCTAGGAGATTGGAGACTTTATCCCATGATATTGATAAATACTCTGAAATGAGGGATATGAGGGATAATAAAGTAATATTTTATTTTTAGCAATAATAAAGGACTAAAATAATAAAAGACTTTAATTTTCAGGTATGTAACTAAAATAGTCATAATGATTATGAATGTATGAAGTTACATTTGGTGTGAGTTTTGTCAGGTAAAATGAGCATTTGAAAAATTAGCCTTACAACTGATTTAAGGTCAGAAATAACTGAAGTATAAAAACCACAAAATCATTGGGCACGGTTGTGCACACCTGTAATCCAAGCAGCTTGGGAGGCTGAGGCAGGAGGATTGTGAGTTCAAAGCCAGCCTCTGCAATTTAGCAAGGCCCTAAGCAACTCAGCGACACCCTGTCTCTAAATAAAATATAAAAAGGGGCTGGGTATGTGGCTCAATGGCTAAGCACCTCTGGGTTCAATCCCTGATACAAAAAATAAATAATAGATAGATAGACAGACAGATAGATCAATAGATAAATACAACAAAATCTTTCAACCAGGAAAAAGTTTTTAAGGTCATCTAATTCAACCATTTTCCCCATATGGGATCTCCTTCACTGCCTGATGGATGATGTACCATTTGATAATTTGTGACATATGTCTACAACCATAAAGTCATCACTACAATCAAGACAATGAATATATCCACCAGTCTCAAAAGTTTGCTCATGGGCTGAGGCTGTGGCTCAGTGGTAGAGCACTTGCCTAGCACATGTGAGGCACTGGAGTCGATACTCAGCATCACATAAACATAAAATTAAGGTATTGTGTTCACCTACAACATATATGTAAATTTTGCTCATAACTCCTTGCAATCCTCCCTCCCTCTCAGAAAACCACCAATTTATTTTCTATCACTATAGTTTGCTTTTCCTAGAACTTTATATAAGTAGAATCATACAGTATATGCTCATTATTGCCTTACTCAGCATAATAATTCTGAATTTATCTACATTGTATATATCAACAATTCATTCCATTTTATTGCTGAGTGGTAGTCCATTGTACAGATGTACCATAATTTATCCTTTCATCTATTGTTGGGCTCTGGGTTGTTTTCAATTTTTGAGTATTACATATAAAGCTTCTTATAAACATCCATATACAAGTCTTTGTATAAATATGCCATTTCTTTTAGGTAAATAATAAGGAGCAGAATGGCTGGGCCATATGATAGCAATATATCTAGCTTTTTAAGAAGCTATCAAACTGTTTCCCAAAGTGGCTGTACCATTCTATATTCCCACTAGCACTGCATGAGTTCCAGTTGTTCTACATCCTTGCCAACATTTGGTATTTTTAAAATTTTAGTCATTCTAACACATGTGTGCAGGTATCTCATTGTGGTATTAATTCCTATTTCCCTAATGACTAATAATGCTGAACATTTTTGCCTGTGCTTATCTACCATCTGTATGTCTTCTTTGTTGAAGTGTCTGTTGAAATTGTCTCCCATTTTGAATTGTGTTGTATGTTTTCTTCTTACTGAGGTTTGAGAATTCTTTACATATTCTAAATATCAGCCCTTTATTAGATATATAATTTTCAAATATTTAATCTGTGGTTTGGTTTTTCATTCTCTTTATAGCATCTTTCAAATAATAGAAGATCTTAATTCTGTATATAGTTTGCAGGTAGAGAGAATTGAATTTTCTGATAGATTGGATGTGAGGTGTGAGAGAAAGAGAAAAGTACCATCACACAAAGATTTTTAATGTGAGCAACTGGAAGTCTGATACCAACTGAGTTGAGAAAATGGGGGCAAGCAAGCTGAAAGATGCATGACATGTCTGGATTCTAGAGCACCAAATGGGTACTTCAGTTGATCCTCCCCACCTCCAGTGCTGGAGATGGAACCCAGGGCTTCACACTACTGAGCTACTACTGTTCTACTACTGAGCTACACTCCCAGTCCATGGAGTTGATTTTAAAAATATTTCACATTCAACAGAATGAACACTTAGAGTGTACTGTTGGAATCAGAGTTGTTGATAAGGAAATTGATTCAAAAGTAAAGTGCTAAAATGACTAGACAGAACAAGCATATTTCACCTCTACCAATTACACTAAAAGCTCCTGGTATGGTATATAAAGCAACCAATGGAATGCTTTGAAAATTGGAGAAAAGAAGGCAGACTGGGTAGGGATACCAGGATACAAGGGGACAATCCTATGATGACAGTGTCAGAATTTTTTTTTGCCTCCTAACACATATGAGCCTGGCTGTGAGAGCAGCTTTCAACTTGGGAACTCCAAGTAGGAAGAGGGCAGACAAAACGATCCTCAAGAGAAGGCCACTGAGAATAGCTGTCCCTGAAGAACAGAATCTTCTCTGTGTCTTTAGATTCTATTACTACTATGAACATGTAGCGGGGCATAGTGCATTCCTTGCAATCCCAGAGATTCAGAAGGCTGAAGCAGGAGGGGCACAAGTTCAAAGCCAATTTGGACAATTTAGTGAGACCCTGTCTCAAAATGAAAAATAAAAAACTGGGGATGTAGCTCAGTGGTATAGCACCCCTGGGTTCAATCTTTAGTAATGGGAAAAAAAAGAAAAGAAAAATAAAAATAAAGAAAGAAAATCTATTTTACAGCCTGGCTTTGTGTTCTTCTCTCTAGCAGACTGGGAAGTTTACTGAATCTCTGACCATGAATTCTATGTCAAGTGAGTCTCCTTTACATTCAGCATTCACTAATGTGAAGTGGACAAAGAGATAAGGACAAAGTCCAAAAAATAAAATTATGTTTTAATTATGAATTCTGATATTTTCTAAGTAGACAAAACCCACAAGATTTTTCAGAGTTTATTAAGGTATCTCTTACCAGAAAACAAGCAACACCAAAAGCCCAAATGAGGCAAGAGTAAATATAATATTTTTTCTGGATTAAAATCCCTCCTGAGACTAATAATGTGATATGAATTCAGAAAATTTCCATAGCAATGTTTCCTGTACTTTAATAGAAAGTACATGGTTCATAGTCCTTTGGGCACACCAGAGGCGGAATACATATTTAATGGGTGTGTTGATTGATTTTTCCAAAATTCAAATCAATAAGCCTGATATAAATACCCTTTATTAGCCAATACACTTTATAGCCTGTATATACAAAATGTGTAAAAAGAATTCAACCATCTGTGAGGAAAGTATAATCTCCATTGGCCTCCTTTTTTTTTTTTTTTTTGGAATGAGCAAGTCTCATTAATTTGGATAGATAAAGGTGTTAAACAGGTATATTTGAATAATTATAAGACATTCATATATTATTTGGTCTAATCTCAAATTCTTTTTTGACATGAACTAATTAAATAAGCCTTCTTTGGGTTTGTTTTATCAAAGAATTAATTGTCTTTTTCTTTTTTTTTGATGCGAAGCGAGGGTGTTATGACTGGGTGGGTACTCTTCATTTTGAGAGTTTTCATCTTCTTATTTCTTCACTTTGCAGTTATTCAGGACTTCTTCATAATTAAGTCACTGTTTAAACATTAGCCTAGAATTATAAATCAACACCACTTACATTCACTGAAATGAGTTACAGATACACATGGACAAGTATTGAAAGGTGACCAAAACCGATCCCACCAGCTAGATGACCTCATTGAATCTCATTGAATTTTTCAGAGGACACATAACCAGTGAAGTTCATCTGTATTTCAGATACAGCTCACAACACTGAGCTCAAACAGCCTTCTGGACCTTTTTGTTTAAGATAATGACACTTCTTGTCTTTTTCATTCTCGTGCTAGAAATCTATAATGTATTAAGCTCAGTTTACTTAGAATAAGAACTATCATTGTTGGCAGGGGCAAGTGTTTCCAAAAACAAATGTTGTTGGCCAAGAAAGCTTTGGTAATGAAAGTTACTGTGAACATATATAGTATATAATGCTAAAACATTTTCTAAAGGATTTAAAAAATGACGAAAGTGGCTGCCATTTTCATTGCTATTTGGTATTTTGACTAGCTTCTAATGAACAAAATATCCCCATTAGAGAAAAACAAGGGAGAAATAGGAATCCTGTCTAAACTGTTCATTTTCATGTCTGGGAGGAAAAAAAACATTAAAAAAGTATCTAAGAACTGTTTACCACTGTTTTCATGGAAAAACTGGGAATAATTAGTACTGAATATCAGAATGTTGAATGAATATATGAGAAGTTGTATTCTTAAAGACAATCTGGAGTCATTGGACACCCTAAATTTTTCAATTAATATTATTCCATATCACTAAGATACATTATTAATCTACATTTTATGCTACTTTATTGTTTTACACAAGTAAGTTCTGGGGAAGAAGCATGGTATAATATAATGAACATCCAGCCAGTCATTAAGTCATAAGTATTTATCAATCACATACTATGTGCCAGATACTTTCCAGGTTTATACAGAAGTGAACCAGAGTTGAAAATTCCTACCCTTGTGCAGCTAGGACAATTAACCAACAAGTAAGATTTAAGTACATCTTACGGAGACTATTGCTATAGAGGAAAATAAGTCAGGAAAGGAAAATAGGGAATTTTGGAGGCAAGGGGCATTCCTTCTCCCACATTTTAAATAGTGTTCAGAGAAGGTTCTAAGAAGAAGCTGGTATCTAAGCATAGATCTGAAGATGGTGAAGAAACAAGCCATGAAGACATACGGGGGCAGAATGCTCTAGAGAAAGGACATGGTTAAAACAGGGCACTAAAGCAAGAATGTACCTGTGGTCTGAGAATTAGCAAGGAGGCCAACATTATGGAACTGAGTGAGAGAAGAGAGAGCAGGAAAGGGTGAAATCAGAAAGGTATTAGGAAGTCAAGCTGTAGAGCAGATTAAGAAAGAATACTTCAGGGGAGAGGCCTGGATTCAGGAGACATCAGTGTACAGATAGCATTTAAGACCAGTCAGACTGGATGAGTCTAGTCAAGCGACTGAGTATAGTCTGAGAAAAAAAGGAGAAGCAAGGACAGAGGCCGGTGGCACTCCACTGTGAAAAGGGGGTTTAGGGGACACAAGGACAAATCAGTAAGTACTGAGGAAGATCAGCCAGGGTAGCAGAAGACAAACCAGGAGAAAAGGTAGCCTAGAAGCCAAGGGAAGATAAGAGCTTCAGAAGAATGCTGATAGGCCAGGCCTGGTGGCACACGCCTGTAATCCCAGCAGCTTGGCAGGGTGGAGGTCAAAGCCCATCTCAGCAATTTAGCAAGGCTCTAAGCAACTTAGCAAGATCTTAAAATAAAAAATAAAAAGGGCTGGGGATGTGGCTCAGTGGTTAAGCACCCCTGGGTTCAATTCCTGGTACAAAAAAAAAAAAATGTTGCTCATAGGCCAAGAAGGACAAGTTCTGGAATTTGACTACCAAATTTGGTAATATAAAGGTCAGTGGTGACTTGATAAGAGCTGCGAAATTTTTTTGTTTGTTTTTTGTTTCATTTTTTTTTTGTGATGCTGGGATGACACCTGGGGCCTCACACATGCTAGGCAAGTGCCCTACCACCAGGCCCTCAGTCCCAGCCCAACAAGAGCTTTCTTAATGGAATTGGTAGGATTATGACCTTGACTAGTATCAGTTCCAGAGGAAGGGACGAGAGAAATTGGAAGATGTAATTACAGACAACTCTTTCTAAGGATTTTGAAAGGGAATCAGAAAATACGGGCAGAAGCTAGAGGGGGCTGCAGGATCAAGAGAAGGCACATGTGTGTAAATGTAAAAAATAAAAGTAAATTATAGGATGCTGTGTCCAAAAGAGACAGAAAACTGATGATGAAGGAAAGGGGAAAGTTGTTGGAGCAATGTCATCATGTAGGTAAAAGGGACATGATCTATACAAGTGATAGGGTCTTGGTAAGCTGAATTAAAATCCTGGCCTCACTAATGACAACTTCTGAGACTTGGGGTAAGATTCTTTTGTGGGGGAGAGGGCAAGGGACAAGTCTCTCAACTTCTCCGAACATTCATTTTCCTATCTATAAAGTGAGAATTTCCTGGAATTACTAAATTGTATAATGCTTTTTGTTTGTTTTGTGGTACTAGGGACTGAATCTAGGGGCACTTTACCATTGAACCACATCCCCAGCCCCTTTTTATGTTTTATTTTTGAGACAGGGTCTTGCTAAATTGCTTAGGGCCTTGCTAAATTGCTGAGGCTGGCTTTGAACTCGTAATCTTCCTGCCTCAGCCTCCTGAGCTGCTGGAATTACAGTCATGAGCTATCACACCTAGCTTGAACTGGGTAATGTTTCAATCAAACAGTACTGTTTCATTGATGTTTCAACTTATAATTTTTCTTAATACTCATTGGAAGATGGGATATGGGAAGGATTTTTAAAATGGGCCTCTTTCCTAAGACAGTAAATAAATTCATATCTAGTTTCTATGGATAAGTAGCTAAAGTTGTAAAGAACATATCACACCTGAAATAAAGGAGTTCAATCCCACTATCAAAAAAAAAGGATGATTAATTTGTTGTAATCTATTGTAATTTCAGTCATGTGACATCTCTTGGAACATGTGTTGGCAGAGGGAAAATAGGCCTTCTTTCCTCATATATTTCATCTTCATCTGCTTTTGTATTCTCTGTATACTAGCTGAATGCCACTAGATTGTTCACAGTTGATGCACAGGAATGACCAACAAGAGGAAGAAAAGAAATGAGAGAATCTCAGAAAGAAGTAAAGGTAAAAAAGGGCCACCTTCTAGATCAATACACTGCTGTCATTGGAAGTGTTCAAACAGTGTGAGCGGTGACCTGTGAGCTCCTATACCTTAAGCCATGGGTGATTCAGTGCTTCATAAACGGTAATTCTTTCAGCTGGATCCAGCATCAGCATGCGACGTACTAGGTCTTTGGCACTTTCAGAGATATGGCTCCACTGCCGAGGATTCATCTGGGGAGGAGAAAAGGATGACTACATAGTTATCTTCAGTGAGAAGTTAACATTTACTCTTATTTAATATTCTTATATTGCTTCAGTGTGAATAAAAAATTCTCAGAGCAAAGAACAGAAATCTCATTTTAAAAGGCTTATTTTTAATGCAATTAAATGCATTAAACAGCTTATTTTAAATGTAATTCTTTGTTCGTGTTATTGTTCACTATATGAGAATTTGCATCAGTAAATATTCCATACATGTTCTTGTTGTTATGATAATATTTTCAATAATCAAAGGATAGAATGCTAACCGGTTTCTACCTTTAGATCCTCAGCTAAAGAGTCTAGATAGAATAACTTGATCCCAAAAGGACTAAAATAAAAAATTAAGATTTAAAGAAATACTTTATTTGAGTACTGGAGATTGAATCCAGGAGTGTGTAATCACTGATCTACATCCCCCTCGCCCTTTTGATTTTTTATTTTGAGACATAATCCCGCTAAGTTGCTTAGGGCCTTGCTAAATTGCTGAGGCTGGGTTTGAAATCGTAATCCTTTTGCTTCAGTCTCCTGAGCCACATACATTACTGTGCCTGAAGAAACATTTCAAAACATGTTTTTAAAACTGGGGATCAGCAGCAGTTGTGAAGCTAGGAAAAATTTTTGGTCAGAGTATGTCAATTTCAGTATATAGGGGGAAATATACCATTATCATTGCCCTACAAAATAACCAATTCACCTGTATGTTGTCCTCAGTGAAGTTTGTCTCTTGGAGATAAGAAAATTAAGCCACATGGTAATTTGACTAAAATCAAATAAAAAGAATTATGAGTTATTCGAAAGACTTCTGAGAAAAGCTGTGGGTCTGTGAGGAAAATATTGGAAGGTACCTGGGAAAGGGGCCAGAAATCAGGGCTTGAGTCTAGGAAGAGAGTACAGACAGGAGGTAGAGATGGAAGAGTCTCATTCCCGATTTTCAGCATCAGGAAGCTGCTTAATTAGGTGAGCTTAAGGGAGCTGCCTGGTACTAGGGGCATCAAGCAATGTCACAGCTTTTTTCTTGAGTGTGTGCACTGGGGATGGAACCCAAGGCCCCATGTCTGGGTAGGCAAGTGCTCTCCCACTGAGCTTTACCCATAGCCCAAGGCCCTTGGGTTTCACCAGTAGAGACCCATGGGACCATCTAAGGGAGAAAGATGGAGCATAATCTCCACAACAATTTTAGGCCAAATGAAATCACAGTATTCGCATCACAGTTACAAGTGAATCATTCCAATTTAGCTAACAGCTAGCAAAGCCACTTAGTTCTGGCTAAGGTGAGGCTTTGTGCTTGTAGATGGAGATGTGGAGGGGAAAGTGATTCCATGTTAAGGACAACTCTTAAAATTAGAAGGTGTTCCATTTTCTTTTGGTAACAGGCAGAATTCCAAACAGTAGTCCCTTTTGTTTGTCAAATCCCATGAAGATGAATGTCATGAGACGGTTTAAAAGTTGTCATCCTATTGACATTGTCATCAAATGACCAGTTTGTAATAAGGAAGTCAGTGACTAGACAGGTCTTAGATGGCTTTGCTGTCTCTTCCCTATCCTGGAGCTGCTGTACTCTTTACGGTCTGAATGATTTTGTTTTTCTAGCAAAGGGATAGAGAAATCATCTGAAAGAGGTGGTAAGGTTTCTGAACTTGAGTTTTTAAATACCATAGCCATAGCAGCTTAGAATATTGCTGTGTAGATACCAATTGGCTACCTGTGACCATGGTATAAGATGACACTGAATCTTTTATATAGAGTTAGGGAAATATTACTTTTTTCCTGTATAAAAAAGTTAATTGAGGTTAAATGTTAGCACATATCTCAATTAAATAGTAGTCTCTGACATCTACTTTAAAAGATCAAGTAAATCAGCAAATAAGAATAAAAAGTCAAATTAAAATCACTTAAGCGCTGGGTGTGGTAGCACATGCCTGTAATCCCAGCCACTCAGGAAGCTGAGGTAGGAGGATCACCAGTTGTAGGCCAGCCTCAGCAACTTAGCAAGACCTTGTCTAAAAAACAATAAGAATAAAAATAAAAATAAAAAGGGCTGGGGGTGAGGCTCAGTGGTAGCAAGCCCCTGGGTCCAATCCCAGTACTATTAAAATAATCACTTAAGAGCAGTAGCAGTTTATAATTTAAATATACTACATTTAAAATATGTCATGGAACTATTCTTGAAAATACCCATCAAGATCAAGGATTTTGTTAAAAATTCTTTTGTTAAGAACCACCAGGGTGATAAATTTTGTTTTTTGAGATCTGTTTTAAAATAATCTAGTAGGCTGTTCATGGTGGTGCATGCCTGTAATCCTAGCAACTTGGGAGGCAGAGGCAGGAGGATCATAATTTCAAGGCCAGCCTCAGCAATTTAGCAAGGTCCTAAGCAACTTAGCAAGACCCTGTCTCAAAATAAAACATAAAAAGGGCTGGAAATGTGGTTCAGTTGTTAAGTTCCCCTGGGTTCAATTCCTGGTACCAGATAAAATGAATAAAATAAAATAATCTAGTAGTATGTAGAATACAGGTAAAACAATATTGGTTATTAACTATTAAAACTGGGGTTCTACACTATTTTTCCATATTTTTATTAGTGTATTATAACTATACATAGTAGTGGGATTTGTTGTTACATATTCATACATGTACACAATAMAACAATATAATATGGTCAACAGTACTCCCCCATCCATTGTTTTGTTTGAAATTTTCCATAATAAATACTCAGAGAATCATATCACTGTATACTTTTTTAAAAAAAGGTAGCAAAGATGGATCTATACTTCGAATTAAGCTGCTAAAAAAACCTGGGCCCTTGTAAGGAAAGCCATGAAGATAACTGAGATGTGAGATTAGCCAAATAAAACAGTAAACAAGCTATTAACCTCAAAGCTTCAAATCCCAGGTACAGAAATTATGATATAGCTGCTGCTGTTATCCATCTGACTTATGCTAATACTTTTACTATTCCCTAGGAATAGGGAAATTTTAATAATTTACTTTTTGGACATTTTGAACAGTCCAAGTTTCTTACCAAGAAATAAAAATAACTATTCAATGTTTTAAAAATAGACAAAATCAAATACCAGACGCTGTCGGAATGAAACACATTGCCTTGGAAACCAGGAAGTTAGTAACTGAACAAACACAAAGGAAGAATTCTATTCTATTATTAGCAAGTGCTTATAACTCAAAAAGGCAGGTGGGAGATTTTATTATATGGTACCCACGTCATAAATTGCTGAGAGTATTAAATGAGTTAATATAAGTGCTTAGAGCAGTTTTGGTACATACCAAATGTTATGTCTCAGCTACCATTATTGCTATCATTATTATTATGTGGTTGTGTGACTTGATTTGATTTGTCAAAATTCAACCAAAAAGCCCAGGCTGTGCTTTCCTGATAGCCACTCACAATTTCCAGGGATTGGAAGGGGATGATTAGTTACAAGCAATTTCCTGAGACATTTAGTTTCTTCCAAAGTACCAATTTTATTCCCTGGCTAACTGACTCCAAGCAGAAAAGTATATATCTACAATCACCTTTCTCTGTAGCAGAATTTTGGCAGAGATCTTACACCAAATAAAACAAGACAAATCTGTATGTACTTATGAGTGGATGGTGTACAGGGCAAACAACCAAAAGTCTAGATCATTCTCACCTCCACTAGCTTTAGCTGGGGCTTAAAAGGATAAGACTGCAAATCTGAAACTTCTATATCTTTTTCTTTTTTCCCCCCACGACCTACAAAACAATTCTAAATTACTGAGGAACTGAAAAGAAAACTTTAGGGGGGTCTCATAACCCTGTTTTATTTTGCCAGGCATGGCCAAAAATGAAACAGTGATTCCGTTGAAGAGAAGGTATAGTTTCCATAACAACAAGAGGAAAGAGAGTCTCTCCAACACAAAGTTCCCTGAACTACAGACAGTACTCCCCCATGCTTCCCACGCCTGTGGGAAGATGTAGTGTGGCTAGATGTAGTGTTATAGGCAAACAAATAGAAGAGCTGGGGTAGTGAAATTCATCTTCAGTTTATTTATTTCCAAGAAGTCCTTAGCTCCTTCTTATATAGCCATTCATGATGTCAGTAATAACTTTGAACTTTTTTTAAATAATGAAAGTAATAATTCACTAAATCTCAAGTCAGTGATAGTCTGTGAACACACAGCAGCCAAAGAATATCAATGTTTAAGTCACATCAAAATGCCTCTAGATTGTGTTATGGAGCATAGCTGTGATGTTGGAATTTCAAGTTTATCCTAGAATGAAATTGGTACTTTTTTTTTTTTTTTTTTTTTGGTACTGGGAACTGAATCCAGAGGGGATTTACCACTGAGCCACATCCCCAGTCCTTTTTATTTATTTTTATTTTGACACGGGTTTCACTAAGTTGCTTAGGGCCTCACTTAGTTGCTGAGGCTGGCCTTGAACTTTTGATCCTCCTGCCTCAGCCTCTCAAGTCGCTAGGATTACAGGTGTGCACCACCATGCCTGGCCTAAATGGTACATTTTTTGGGCTGTGCTGACATACATTTAAAATTAAGATAAGGAATGATTAAAAGTACCTGAATAAAATTTCCATTTCAATTTTACAAATTAAGCAAAAACCTTTAAATATGAAGCCCCTTTTCTCATCTACAGAAAGAAGAGCCACATAAGTTTTTTTTTTTAATTGGATTAGTAAAGAAAACCTAGTGGCTGACAGTAACTTCAAAATGCTTGATTTTTTTTTGGGGGGGGGGGATTGGGGATTGAGCCCATGGATGCTCTACCACTAAGCTGCATCCCCAGTCCTTTTTAGTTCTTATTTTGAGGCAGGGTCTCACTCAATTGCAGAGGCTGGCCTTGAATTTGTGATCCACTTTCCTCCGCTTTCTCAGTTGCCAGGCTTATGGTATGTGCTACCGGACCCAGCACCAAACAAACTTTTCAGGATAATGTAATCTCAGTGGAAAAATTAAATGGTCATAAGACATTACCTTATATTTTCCTTTAATGATGCCTTCAAACAATCTTTCCTTGGTTCCGTAAAAAGGCAAACAACCACTGAGCAGGATGAAAAGGATCACGCCGCACCCCCACACGTCCACAGGCTTTCCATAAGGCTCTCTTTTGACTACTTCTGGGGCCATAAAGTGAGGCGTCCCGACGCGCCCTACATTGAAAACAACAACAACATGAAAGAAAACGATTTATATAAAATCAGGGCTTTCCATATGAAAACCAAAAATAATAATAGAATGATCACAATCAGAATGAAAAGGCTGCCAAGAGAAATATCCTCTCATCACCTGTTCCCAGGAAATGAAGCTCACGGTGGGGGTGGGAGTGGGGAGAATGATTTCTCTAATCACCTCTTGAAAACACTGAGTCCAAGAGAGGCCCCTGGGAGTCCTTCTTGAATTCTGCATGCTACATAGTAGAAATTAATGTTATTTATTGATTCATGAAGAGGTTTAAATTTTTAATTTGGAGCAGAGGTAGGTGGAAGAGTCTACAGGCAGTCTATTCCTGCCCAGGAAAGAGCCTAGAGGCCTGCCTTGGGCAGAAGGCAGAGGCAGGGAGAGGAGAGCTCAGGAATGAAGAAAAAAACATCTGTGGCAAAAAGATTACTTTTGGGGGCTGGGGTTGTGGCTCAGTGGTAGAGCACTCGCCTAGTATGGTTGAGGCACTGGGTTCGATCCTCAGCACCACATAAAGATAAATAAATAAAGGTATTGTGTCCAACTACAGCTAAAAAATATTTTTAAAATAAGATTACTTTTGACTGCCAAATGGAAATTCCCCAAGAAAACCTAATGCTGAGAACTTTTATTTGGAATATGAATTTCAATCTGCAATCCTGTTCATTTGATTGTAGCAATTAACAATGGTTAGTGGTACTTTGTTAGAAAAGGAACTAGTTTTAGCTTCTTGCTTACATTAAGATTTTTCTTTTTATGGTACCGAGGATTGAACCAGGGACAATTAACCACTGAACCACAATCCCAGCCCTCTTTTATATTTTATTTAGAGACAGGGTCTTGCTAAGTTGCTGAGGCTAGCTTTGAACTTGTGATCCTCCTGCCTCAGCCTCTGGAACCACAGGGATTACAAGCACATGCCACTACTCCTGGCTCCCTAACGTTAAGATTTGAAGAGAAACGACAGCAAATATGTGACACACATCGAAGCAAAACTAATGAAGTTCCTCCCATTAGCTCCTCTTTGACCTTCACCTTCTTCAATGAGTTTTCCTTTCTTTCCCCCTCTCTATCAAAAATTAGCTTTCTGGAAGGAAAGTGATACCAGTTGTTTGCACATGAACAGCCATCTTTAACTCAGTATTCCAAAGGAAGGCTTTTCTTCTGTGAAATAAAAGGCTTGTACCCTGTAGTGAGATTACCATAGGATGGGGCACTGCCTTCTAGACTTGGCACTCATTCTAGATGTTTACAAGCCCACTCACCTTCCTCGCTCTGCCAGTCTCTGACTTATCATACTGAGTCCAATATAATTTTTACTTTGAAATTTGCACCAGTACTTTATCTACAGCCCAGAACTGTGGTTCAGAGCTTTGAAAGAACTTAAGAAATCTTCTGGTCCAGCTGAAGCGCAAGGCCTGTTAGTGGTTATTGAACTCAGTTGGGACAGAGAAGGATAATACAGCTCTCAGCTTGCATACTGGGGATATTCCTTTGTTGAAGATCACTATGGGTCCCCTTCCTCCCCACAAAATAGAAGAGGTTATGCTTAGGGTTCAATTTGTGAAAATGTGCTCATTTAAAATGTATAACGGATAAGTGAAATCTACAAAGACCTGGCTACATTAATATTTTTATTTCTGGATTATCCCATTTTGCTTCCTTGAGTAGCATAAATAAGCTAAAGCAATGAGAGTTAAGCCTCCTACTTCATTAGCATCCTGGACAGGGAGGGGCCACTGGATATGAGCCTTGTTTTGATGGACAGGAGCTGGCAGGAGCAAGGAGAAGCAGGGAAAGAGCCCAGGGTACCATTTGGTATACTGGTACCAGGACAACAGTCAGGTACCAGCTGAGGGTTCAGATGAGGCCCTGGAATTCAACTTGATTCCTGCTATTTCCCATACAAGAAAGGGTCAAGCAACTCAAAACTGGGACCTCATTCTGGGAATAATCAGAGCCACTATGGCCAGTCCCAACCATCCTGAGGAGGTTTTCTCCAACTAGCTGGACTGAAGGCTACCCAATTCTAGGGACATTCTTGGGGAAGATGTTATGTGTTTTTGGGTTTAAGAATTTGCTCTTAGATGATCATGGGAACATTATGATGGAAAGAATATACAGAAATGTTTCTTTTATTTCAAGTACATTGGCAGAATGTGAAAAGGGCTGGAGTTAACCTTTATTATACACTACTTCCCCAAACTCCTTGTTACTAATTTGCTTTCGTTGTGACCACTTGACTTTATGACTTAGACCACAAAATTCTAAGAACAGGAAACCAATTACCAAACCAAATTAAATGTCATTGTTGATGAAATACTTCAGATGTACATTTAAATGTTATACTTTCATAATATAATTAAACCTTCTACCTAGAATCTTGGGGTTCTAAATAGCTACATTTTCAATACTTTTGGATTGGAACCTTTATGCACATAATGCTTTTTACTTTAATAATTTTTGTATGGCTATTTTCCTACAATTTCCTGACCTCTTTTACCTAGGATGTTGCAGAGTTGTCACTGTGGATGTTAATTAAAGATCTCTACTGTAGAACAGAGAGCACCCTCAGAGACTTCAAAGGTTTGTAAAGGTTGATTTCATTGATTATTAAAAGGCTGCTGTGTTTACCAGGTTTTGAGGTTTGCTTACTGTATTTTTTTTTCTGTCAGGCTTTCATTATTTTTTTCTCTTGCTATGATTACTCCAGTTCTAGCTTCTCCTAGTTTGTTGTGTATAATCTGCTATTAACAGGAAACTCACTAGCAATAAGATTCTTTTATTTAATAGCAATTTCTCAGGCGTTGCTAGGTCTCCGACACCATGGTAGGCACTGTGGAAACATAGGGGATAAGCCTTGGTTCTCCTACCCCTTACAAATCTGAGTCTTTGCTACAATTACAAGTCCCTGCATCAAGTGCAATGCGGAGATGATGGAGCCCACATGGTTCTGGTAATATGGAAAGGAAGGAATAGGACTATCTAACTCAGATGGTTTAAGATCAGCCTACTTTTAAGAGGAGACAATTGTTAGTCCAGACTTCAACAATAGTAGGAATTAACCAGATAGATAAAATGACAAAAGACATTCCAACGAGAGGAAATGGCTGGTGTAAATTAGGAACACAAATCTATACAACTTTATGAAAAATGGGAGTAGGTCAGCCTCAGAGAAGGTCTTTAGATGCTCAATTGAGAGGACCATGAATGGGTTTTAAGGGTAGGAACAGTTTTGCTGCTATTATAATTAGTTTCTAGGTTCCTAATTGCATTCTGGATATGTGAGTTCTCCAAACAGCTGAGTTTCAGATAGGGGAAGCGTAAATATATTTAAATAGATTTTTTTTTAAAATTTAGTTCTTAGTTGTAGTTGGACATAATACCTTTATTTATTTGTTTATTTTATGTGGTGCTGAGGATGGAACCCAGTACCTCACACATGCTGGGCGATCGCTCTACTGCTGAGCCACAACCCCAGCCCTCTTTAAATGGTTTTTACTTTATGGCACATATAAAGAAGAGGACCCCTTTCTATTTGGAGGACTCGGTGATCAAAGATTCCAAGTGACAGGAAAGTAACTCTTTGTTATAAATAGTTTTTAGTTGTAGATGGACACAATTTCTTTATTTTTATGGGGTGTGAAGGATTGAACACAATGCCTCACGCATGAGAGGCAAGTGCTCTATCACTGAGCTATACCCCTAGCCCAGGAAAGTAACTTTTGATTTCAAAGTTGATAAATACTAGCAAAATTTCAAAAGCACCTTAAACCACAAGAAAGATTCTTCTGTGAGAAATCTTTTATTCCTTATCTACTCATATTGTATTTTTAAAAGTATTATAATGCAGCTGTGGATGTAGCTCCATGGTAGAGCACTTGCCTAGCATGCATAAGGCCTTGGGTTTGATCCCCAGCACTGCAAAAAGAAAAATATATATTGTAATGCTTACAATAGTTATTTCAAGTAAATCTATGTTAAGAAATAACAATATTTAGGCCGGGCGCAGTGGCGCACACCTGTAATCCCAGCAGCTCGGGAGGCAGAGGCAGGAGGATCACGAGTTCAAAGCCAGCCTCGGCAATTTATCGAGGTGCTAAGCAACTCAGTGAGACCCTGTCTCTGATAAAATACAAAATAGGGTTAGAGATGTGGCTCAATGGTCAAGTGCCCCTGAGTTCAATCCGTGGTATCCCACCAAAAAAGAAATAACAATATTTTGACTGTCATAAAGTATTTTAATTTTAGAGCATAGAAAATAATAAATGTTGAATAACTGGCACTCTGGGAATTCAAAATTAGATTTCAAAATACAATTTAGGGAAAAGCTTCATGGACTTTAGAATTACCATGGAGAAAATATCCAGGTAAATCTAATGAATCTACTTTTCCTGTTCAATGAAGATGAACAATAAAATATGGAGCCCATGACATTCTGAATAGTAACAAGATGAAGATTTAGAGTGCTTGCCTAGCATGCATGAGGCACTGGGTTCAAACCCCCATACCACATAAAAAGAAACAAATGAAGTAAAGGTATTGTATCCATCTACAACTAAAAATAAAATAAAATAAAAATTTAGAGCAACAGAAACAAAATCATTATAAATGGACAATATATAACATATAAAATGAACTCAATTCATTTTATTTTATCTCATCTCATTAACCTTGGGGAAGTAATCATCAAATTATTTCTTATCATTGTGCTACATATATATATATATATATATATATATATATATATATATATTATATGGAGGATTGTAAGGGGCACTTAACCACTGAGCCACATCCCCAGTCCTTTTTATATTTTATTTTGAGACAGGCCTTGCTAAGTTGTTTAGGACCTCACTAAGTTGCTGACACTGGCTTTGAACTTGCTATCCTCCTGCCTCAGCCTCTTGAGTCACTGAGATTACAGGCATGCACAACCATGCCCAGCTAATTGTGCTTTCTTATCACAGGGGTGATCTGTACATATACCACATTTTAGAGAGTTGGTTTACCAGCAATATTTGTTTAAAAAAGTAGCTTAGGATTTTTAGTTGATTGCAAGATCAGTATGAGCCCGTAGTGTTATGTGGTTGTCCAAACCGCTAATGAAATTTAAGGAGCCTGATGGAAAGGTAAGACCCAGAACAAAAAGAAGTGCTAGTCCAATGCCTCTGTGCATGTGGGACAGACTCAATCTGTAGTTAGGGTATTCAGTTCTGGCCCTATCCTTTATGGACAATGAGGAGATTTGAAACCAGTTTATATAAGGCATGGCTCCATTAATCTAGGGAAGTAAACTGGATAATACTTAGGGGGATGTGGTAGCTGTCTTTAAGTATCTGAATGGCTATGATATGGAAGGAGGAAAATTACTCAGAGTGGCTTTAAAAGTTAGAATTTGGACCCATTGTGTGGAAGTCACAGAAAGATTTCTATTTAATACAAGGACAATTTTTTTAAGTTTCCTTTTTTAAATTTTATATATGACAGCGGAGTGCATTACAATTCTTATTATACATATAGAGCACAAGTTTTCATATCTCTGGTTGTATATAGTATATTCACACCAATTCGTGTCTTCATACATGTACTTTGGATAATAATGATCATTGCCTTCCACCATCATTAATAACTCCATGCCCCCTCCCTTCCCCTTCAACCCCTCTGCCCTATCTAGAGTTCATCTATTCCTCCCATGTTCCCACTCCCTATCCCACTATGAATCAGCCTCCTTATATCAAAGAAAACATCTGGCATTTGTTTTTTTTTTTCCTTCTCCAATGCCATCCATTTACCTGCAAATGCCATGATTTTATTCTCTTTTATTGCTGAGTAATATTCCATTGTGTATATATGCCACATTTTTTTATCCATTCATCTATTAAAGGGTATCTAGGTTGGTTCCACAGTTTAGCTATTGTGAATTGTGCTGCTACAAACATTTATGTAGCTGTGTCCCTGTAGTATGCTGTTTTTAAGTCCTTTGTGTATAAGCCGAGGAGGGGGATAGCTGGGTCAAATGGTGGTTCCATTCCCAAATTTCCAAGAAATCTCCATGCTGCTTTCCCTATTGGCTGCATCAATTTGCAGTCCCACCAGCAAGCTATGAGAGTGCCTTTTTCCCCACATCCTCGCCAACACTTATTGTTGTTTGTATGTATAATAGCTGCCATTCTGACTGGAGTGAGATGATATCTTAGAGTAGTTTTGATTTGCATTTCTTTAATTGCTAGTGATGATGAACATTTTTTTCATGTATTTGTTGATTGATTGTACATCATCTTCTGAGAAGTGTCTCTTCAGGTCTACAAGAACAAACTTTTAATACTTAAGGAGTTTTCCAAAAATGAACTGTCCTGGGATATAATGAGTTCTTTGCCATTGGAGGAATTAAACCAGAATTTTTTGGGGGGACTATTATGGGAGAATTTCATCATTAGTTATAAGTCTAGAGAAGTTAAAGCTCCCTGAAAACCTGGGATTCAATGAATCTGATTAAACTGTGCTCTACTGCCTGACCTTTTCGTCAGTCTTCTAGTCATTGACAGAAAGTTTTAAATTGGCAGGGGGAAAGCAGCATTATTTGAAACTATACTCAATTTTCAGTTTTTCATGTTAATGGAAAGGATTAGCTGGAAAAGAATACAAAACTAAAGGAAAACTTATATATAATTTAATTTTAGAAGTTAAGGTGGTAAAAAAATGATTTAAGGACTACAACTATAATCTATGGCTCATTTTTAAGAAGATGGTCTAAGTTATCACTGTTTGATGATTTAGCTAAAACCAATTAAGTTGCATGAAATATCCTGTATAACGGATTATTATTATTTTTTAAAAAGTATTTATTTTTTAGTTGTAGGTGGACACAATATCTTTATTTTATTTTTATGTGGTGCTGAGGATCAAACCCAGTGCCTCAGGCATGCTAGGTGAGTGCTCTACCTCTGAGCTACAACCCCAGCCCCAGATTATTATTTTGATATTTGTTATTTGTCAGGTACTTGAATTTAACATCAGCAGTCTTAAAGGACGATTGTTTTAAAAAGTTCTGTTGAGCTTTTGCATTTTCCTTTTTGAAAAACCTGGCAGTATTTTCAGATGGATAAGAGAAAGCCCTGACTAAAAGACTGATTGTGCTGGGTGTGGTGTCGCACGCCTGTAACCCCAGGGGCTCAGGAGGCTAAGGCAGGGGAATTGCAAGTTCAAAGCCAGCCTTAGCCACTTAGCAAGGCCCTAAGAACTCAGTGAGATCTTGTCTCTAATAAAAAAATATATATACAAGAAAAGGGCTGGGGATGTGGCTCAGTGGTTAAGTGCTTGTGAGTTCAATTCCCGGTACAAAAAAAAAAAAAAGACTGGTTGTGTATAGAAAGGAGAACTATGCAATCTGCAACACTATGAAATAAAACTGAAAACAAGTAGCATTCTGAGTTGGAGTCTATTGAAAGGAATAATAAAAAACCCCAAATACTTGAATCTGAAATTAGCATACACCTATGTATACTTTCTTTTAACCTTTTTCCTTTTTAATCCCAACTTAAAATTGAGATTTTTAAAATGATGCTTCACTTTGGTTAATAATAAAATCATGGGCTGGGGTTGTGGCTCAATGGCAGAGCGTTTGCCTAGCATGTGTGAGGCACTGGGTTCAAGTCTTATCACTACATAAAATAAATAAATAAAGGTATTGGTATTGTGTCCATCTACAACTAAAAATAAAAATAATAAAAATCAGTCTGCATTCACATTTGTTTGCTGTCCATAAACATATAGGTTGATGGCCTGAGCAGGATTCTTTGATGAACCAAAAAAGGAAAACACTATGAAATTAAAAATTAGCCATAAATGTAAACCTAACCCACATGTTCTAGATTTGACTTTGGCCAGTTCAACTTTTTTTTAAAAAACATTTTTAGTTATCAATGGACCTTTATTTTATTTATGTATATGTGGTGCTGAGGATCAAACCCAGTGCCTCACACATGCCAGGCAAGTGCTCTACCACTGAGCCACAACCCCAGCCCTGGCTAGTTCATCTTTAAAAGCATCTATGGCCTCAATTATCATCTCCTTTGAAAAGTGTTTTTCTCTCTCTTCCTCCCTTCCTTCCTCCCTCCTCTTCTTTCTTCTTATTTTTTGGAGCTGGGGATCAAACCCATCATCATGTGCATGCTAAGAACACATTCTACCACTGAAGTACCCTCACAGCCCCAGTCTATTCTTAAGGGACTAAAAGTCTGTTATGACTACTAAGGTATTAAATTCAAAACTACTTAATGGTGCTTTTGCAGGGGTGGAGTAGGGTGGAGTGGGGTATGAAACACTGAGGTTGGGCTAGTATTTAGTTTGAAAGTTTTAAACCAAACTAAAAGTGACAAGGTTTTGAAGGAAAAAAATTTTAAATGTGGTCTTACCTCCAGCTACAAGTCCAGACTCTCCTAATTGAATAGCTACCCCAAAGCCCCCAAGTTTAACAGGTGCTGAGTTTTCTTTTGAGGCAAGGAGAACACAGTGGGGCTGAAAAGAAAAAGAGACACACAGAAAACAAACCCAGAGATAAGGATTAGTTGAAGATAAACAATTCAATTCACTCAAAACAGAATAACATAATAATATAGTAACACTTATAAAATTTCTGAATTATTTCAGATACTTGAATTATTTGTCCTATTGCCAATTCTGGCTGACTTCTCCAAAGACTTACCTGTTTTGCCAATCATTTTTAGGAATTATTTGCTTCCAAAATTAGGGTATGGTGCTAAGAATTACTCAGAAAGTACAGATGTTCAAGAAATACAGATAACATTTTCTGCCCTTTTATGCAATACTATCTGTCTTTGGTAGTCTAGATGTGTTTCAGGAAACAGATGTGTTACACTTGTGGCCAAAATGTTTCTTATAACCTCTGACTTTACCTAACCTTGTAACCTCTACTTTATACCTTGGCCTTCACCACTAAGGGCCTTCTTTGTCCAATGCTGATTAGTCCTCCTTTGTCCACTCTCTCCTATTCTCTTTCTTTTCTTCCTTCATTCCACTTCTGAGTAAGAGGAGTACCAAACAGATGTTTGCATTTAATGACTTTAATTGAGCTGTGTTCCCTGGGGATGTACTACCTGATCTAGGAATGTCTTTCTGTGGTAGTGGGAAGTGAAGAAGGAGATCACTTGGCCAATCTCTGGTCCAGAGCAAGAAATCCTCCCCAAAGAGTAGCCTGCTTGACCAGGGCCTCCTAGATATCATATGCTTTGCAGTAACAATGACAATTTCTTTGTAGGACCTTCTCATCTATATCTGTCTCTTTATGGAAGCTTATTAGAGCTGGTATCAGGAGAGAATTTAATTGTGGGGACATTTGTTTCTGCTACTGTGTTCCCTAATATGCTTAACACTACATTGACCTGCTCTCAAAATATAGGTTAGTAAAAATGATGAACCTTGTTAGACTGAAAGACAAAGTATTTCACTCTCCTATACTTTCTCATTCATAAATGGTACAGTTTTAGCTGAGATGATAGTGTTTAAAAGACTGTGCAATATAATCAAACTGGTATACTCAGATGTTAGATGATGATACACAGATGTGGAAGGGATCCTCATTTGGCCCAACGAGAGCATCAGGATTCTATTTTGGAAGTCAACTCTTGCTGTCCAAAGAAGTCTTTACAAGAGTCTAGCACAAAGATGAACCCTCAAATATAAGTGTGTATGAATGTGTGAGAGCAAGAGAAAGAATTAGAGGGAAAGCAAGCAAATGAAGAGTGAGAAAATAGCATGACAAAGCAGTGAGAAGGTTCGATAAGAGAGGGAGAAAACCTCTACAGAAATCAACCATGACGACCACTCTCACTAAGAACTTTCAGTTGGTTTGAGGAGACTGATGACAATATGCTAAATGAGAAAGCAAGAGCCTTAGTATGATTCTGGTGTGGGGAACAGCACATGGGTAAGACTAGGAAAGGGTGGGCATGGTGCAGGAGAATAAAATACAACCTAGACTCAAGCCGAATCTCCTGGCCATGCCTATGAGAGAGTTTTTTAAAATCACCTTCTTAGGAAGGAGAAGTAGAAGCTTAAATTAGAAGCCTGTAGTACATACTCTTCATAGTTTGTTGACTCTGTATATGCTAAAGTAAATGTTATACTGTAATCCATGTAATTCTCATCATGTAAGGATTCAGTCACAATAAATCTTGAAGTGAGATGAGTCATAAAGTTTAAGCTTAAGATAGAAAATCAAGAAACCCATTGGTAAAAATTAATACAATGTAGACAGGTGCAGTGGCGCATGCCTGTAATACCAGTGACTTGGGAGGCTGAGGCAGGAGGATCACGAGTTCAAAGCCAGCCTCGGCAACTTAGTGAGACACTTAGCAACTCAGTGAGACCCTGTCTCTAAATAAAATATAAAAAAGGTAGGAAATGTGGTCTGAGAGATGATCAAAGGCTCTGTCATCTAGGATCTTGAAGCCATAATCAAAATTCTGGATTTTATGCTGAGTGAGATGGGAAACCACTAGAGATCTGAGCAGGGGTTTGTAAAGGAGCATTCTGCCTGCCCTGAGGAGGAGGGCTTGTAGGAGCCAAGAGTGGAAGAAAGGAGACCAGTTAGGAGGCCACTGCCATTGACCAGGCCAGAGAAGATGGTGATGTGGACTCAAGTGACAGAAGTAGAGGTGATAAGTGGTCAGATACAGTTTATGTTCAGAAGGTAAAGCAGACAGGAATTGCTGCTGGATGTGGGTGTGAGAGAAAGAGAGAAGTCGAATGTGACAGGTGGGTTTTTGTTCTAAGCAACGGAGTGAAAATGAAGATACCATTTGTTGAAATGGGCAATACTGAGGGAGGAGTGTGCAAGGGGAATGAAGAACATGCTCAATACATATTGAGCATGGGATCATATGAGATGGGGGGTGGAGGGGAGGCTGGGGTTAGCAATGAAAATTTGGGAATCCCCAGCATGTTCAGGGTTATTTATAGCCAAGGAAATGACAACTGATAGGGAAGAGGTTGGGGAACAGAGCCCTGGTGTGTACTTATATTTGAGAGCAAGAAAATAAGAATGTTCTAGCAAGACATTGCTAAGAGAACGACCAGAGACTGAAGCAGGAGGAAAATCAGAATTTGGTGTCCTGAAGCTAAATAAAGAAGCTCTTTTGAGAAGGAATGATTAATAGTGATCAATGTCACTAAGGCCATTTAAGTTGAGAACTGAGAACAGATGATTAGATTTGGCAACTTGGAAGTCACTGGTGATCCCGATAAGAGTGGCATTAGTGGCATGATGGAGACAAATATCTCCATTGAACCAGGTTCAGGAGAGAATGTATAGACTAAGTATAGGAGACTAAGTATAGACACTTTTCAAAAGTTTTGCTGTATTAGGAATGGAGAAATGGGATGTAACTAGAAGAGAATGTGAAGCTTCAGAAGTTTCTTTCTTTTCTTTTTAATTTTTTTTAAACATTTACAAGTGGAGGAAAATAGATTAATAAAACTCCATGTGTCATCACCTAGCTTTGACAATTACTGCCATTCTGCCATTCTTGAATGGCCTATCCCCTAACCATTTATTTATTTATTTTGCACAAGTACTTAAAAAACAAATCACCTCATTTCATCTTATAATTCAGCATTTTAACAGAGAACTTAAAAATCACCATAGTATCATTATTGCATTGAATAAAATAAGCAGTATTTTTTTTATTGGTTGTTCACAACATTACAAAGCTCTTGACATATCATATTTCATACAAGAGATTGAAGTGGGTTATGAACTCCCATTTTTACCCCAAATGCAGATTGCAGAATCACGTCAGTTACACATCCACAATTTTACATAATGCCCTATTAGTAACTGTTGTATTCTGCTACCTTTCCTATCCCCTACTATCCCCCCTCCCCTYCCCTCMCATCTTCTCTCTCTACCYCATCTACTGTAATTCATTTCTCTCCTTGTTTATTTTCCCATTCCCCTCACAACCTCTTATATGTAATTTTGTATAGCAATGAGGGTCTCCCTTCATTTCCATGCAATTTCCCTTTTCTCTCCCTTTCCCTCCCATCTCATGTCTCTGTTTAAAGTTAATCTTTTCTTCCTGCTCTTCCTCCCTGCTCTGTTCATAGTTGCTCTCATTATATCAAAGAAGACATTTGGTATTTGTTTTTTAGGGATTGGCTAGCTTCACTAAGCATAATCTGCTCTAGTGCCATCCATTTCCCTGCAAATTCCATGATTTTGTCATTTTTTAGTGCTGAATAATATTCCATGGTGTATAAATGCCACATTTTTTTTATCCATTCATCTATTGAAGGGCATCTGGGTTGGTTCCACAGTCTAGCTATTGTGAATTGTGCTGCTATGAACATCGATGTGGCAGTATTCCTATAGCATGCTCTTTTAAGGTCTTCAGGGAATAGTCCGAGAAGGGCAATAGCAGGGTCAAATGGTGGTTCCATTCCCAGCTTTCCCAGGAATCTCCATACTGCTTTCCAAATTGGCCGCACCAATTTGCAGTCCTACCAGCAATGTACAAGTGTACCCTTTTCTCCACATCCTCGCCAGCACTTGTTGTTGTTTGACTTCCTAATGGCTGCCAATCTTACTGGAGTGAGATGGTATCTTAGGGTGGTGTTGATTTACATTTCTCTAACTGCTAGAGATGGTGAGCATTTTTTCATGTACTTGTTGATTGATTGTATGTCCTCCTCTGAGAAGTGTCTGTTCAGGTCCTTGGCCCATTTGTTGATTGGGTTATTTGTTATCTTAAAATAAGCAGTATTTTAAAAATATAATCTAATACCCCACATTGCATTTCTCTTAACTATCTCAAAAATGTTTTTTTTTTTTATTGTGAGTTGGTTCAAAATGGGATCCAAGGTCCTTAGATGTCTGTATTAGAGATCCTCCTATTTGTGTCTATTGTTTAAGTGTTCATGCCATTGACTTAAGATACTAGGTGATTTCCCCCATGGAATTCCCCACAATCTGTATTTGGTTAATGGCACCCATGTGGTGTCATTTAATATGTTCCTTGCCCTCTTGCATTTCCTGTCTATTAGTAGCTAGATCTAGAATTTTCATTATATTCAGATTCAATTTTAGTTTTATGCCCTGATACTTCACATGTGGGGCAACTATTGCATTGCCTCAGGAAGGATATAATGTCTGATGCTCTACTTTTTAGTGATAGGATTCAGTGGTAGAATCAGGTTATTGTCTGCCCAATCCATCATGGTTTCATGCTCCATCAATTTTTCACTCAATAATGTTGGCAGCCATTGATGCCTAGATCTGTAATCTGGGGTTCCAAAATGGAGGTTTTCCTCACCACTTTTTTGTAAGAACTATTAAAGATAAAGAAAATTAAAAGAATGTTATAGTAAACAGCCACTTACTCACCACCTAGATTCTCCAATTGACATTTTTTATATTTGTTTTTATCAACTATCTATGTATGTCTAACCTATCATCTATTCATCTACTGTTGGGCATCGTAGAGTACACCTGTAATCCC